ATTATAATAACGTAGTGTAATAAAAGTTATAGGAATGTGGTCTGTCTGCGTCTGTCTGTCTCCCTCTCAATATACATCTTACTATATGTGATATTTTCACACTCTGGGCAACTAAAACTGCAGAAGGTGAAAATGCAGATGAGGGGGGATGACTGTACTATTTTTCTTTTGTTAGTTCCTTTGTGATACCTTCTTTTCCTTCCTTTCCACCTGCTTTTGTTTCAGATGTCTTACTTGGGCCTGATCATCACTATCTTTTAATTGTAGATGTAGTTCAGTCAAATTTAAAATGTTTATTAATAGATTTAAATTTGACTTATAAGTGTACTTGCTCTTTTTTATTTTATATTTTTCCTCTGTTTGCTAGGAATTGAAACATTCTTGCTATTCTTTTAGTTGTCGTTTTAGAGTTACTAACATGACTGATCACAGTCTAAGATTTATTCTTCTTTTTATTGTCTTCTGATTCTGTGCCATAACCTTCTTAGTATATGTTCCATTTCTCCTAACCCCTCTTTAATATCCTCCATCTTTTTGTTCTTTTTGGACAATCTTGTACTGTATTATTTCTTTCTTAGTACTTTCTTTGGACATCTTGCACTACATTAGTTCTCTGCAACTTAAAATCTGGTTTAATTCATTAATTGAGTTTTTAACTTTCATCATTGTAGTTTTCATTTAGCAAAGTTCTCCTTGCCTTGTTTTCAATTCTTCGTTTTTTTGTTTTGGTTTTTTTTTCGTAATTTTTATTGTCTTCTTGGTTATATTTTCAAGGATCTTTTTTTATGATATTTTATATATTAAACAGTATTACTTAATATGTTGAATTATGTTTGTTTCAGACTTTGCTGTCTGTTATTTCTTTTATTTCTTCTGGTTCTTACTCATGGTTTCATGTGGACTTCTGTGGTCTGCATTTTTAACTATGAACTCATATTTGAATTTTTGTGAGAATACTCTGATATCTGAGCTGATGCGTTTCCTTGATAAGAATAACTGACCAAGTCACCTTGGGGCACTACAAGTCTGGGATCTTTTGTTTAATTACATATTTTGCTTGAGACTTTTGAAACTACACTGGTGGCATAAACTCAGATAACTCTCTTTATCTGACATCAGGGTTGTGATAGACATGGCTTTTTATGTCCACTCATGTATGGTGGCATCCCTGCCTCCTTGTTTTCATACCCTTATACTGAATACGTAAGCTTTATGAAGTTCTCCTATTAGAATCTATTCTTGGGGAGGCTCTAGACCCCACCACCACCACCAAACATACACCATGCAAATAACAGAAAGAAGCTCAAAATCACAATATTTGGCAGAAATAATTAGAATAAAAATTGACTTTGGAGTTTAGTTACCTTCAAGAATTCTTACAATTCATTTTATTTTTATACTCCATTGTTTTCTTATTTTCACATCAGCCTGATGGTGGCTTTTTTTGTTTGTTTGTTTTAAAAACGAGATTCTAAAGATTTTTTTATCTAATACTCTACTTTCTCTTTATGGTAGAATGGTATTACTAGAAAGGGAATGACAATGTATTATATTTCTCTTTTAAAAGTAGTTTATGGCTGGGCTCGGTGGCTCAGTCTGTAATCCCAGCACTTTGGGAGACCGAGGTGAGTGGATTGCCTGAGCCCCGTGGGTTCGAGACCAGCCTGGGCAACTTGGCGAGACCTCGCCTCTACAATAAATCAAAAACATTAGCTGGGCATGGTGGCATGTGCCTGTAGTTCCAGCTACTTGGAAGGCTGAGGCGGAGGGATCGCGGAGCCCAGCAGGTCAAGGCTGCAGTGGCCAGGAGCGTGCCACTGCACTCCAGTCAGGGCGACAGAGGGAGACTCCAACTCAAAAAAAAAAAAAAAACAGTTTATGCATTTTTTTAGCTTTTATTTTCAAAACACTACCTGTATAACTTTCTTTACATATTTATATCATTTTTATGCTACAAGAAAAATGAGGGCAGCTAATGTTTACTGAATGATGACTATGTGACAGATACAGCTTAAAATTCTCTATATTTATTGACTTTTGAATCCCCTCAGCATCTCTGTAAAGTAGATACAGTTATTATTCCCATTATACAGATGAGAAAACTAAAGCACTGAGAAGTTGAATAAATTGCTTAAGGTCACATAGCTAATAAAAGTTGAAAAGGAATTATTTTTAAATTGTAAGCTACTAGGTTAATAAATAATCTGGCAGGGTAGAGAAAAAGGGTGGGTTTTATTGCTCCATAGGCCTGAATTTATATCCAGGATCTGCCATTAACTATGTCTCTACTTTAAAGACATTTGAAAGGGTACAGCATTTAATATATGTTTTTAAAGTTTATTTTAGATTTAATTCATTATATCTTATATTGTTTTTACTTATTTTATTATAAATGTGATATATAACCATTATAAAAATAATCAGTCAAAGCCAATGAAACACAAAACCTCCTATTATGCCCTCTTCCTCCCCCTTTCCTTTTCCTCACCTCCATCATGCTGAGCTACCATTGCCTGTTTGGAGTATATCCTTCCATTGTTATTTGCGGTATGTGTGGTGTGGATACATGTGTCAATTGTTATTTTCTGTATGTGTGGTGTGGAGACATGTGTCAATTTACTAGTAATTATTATATATATGTACACTTTCTTATTTCTGCAGTTTGGGTTTCATTGTAAATAACTTCGAGTCTCTAGGATGGGGATGGGGGGATTGTGTGTGTGTATTTTTGTGCTCATGGTATTTTAAATCTGCATTGTAATAAAGAGTATGACTCTAATTAGATTTGTTTTCATTTAGGCATTTTTAGATATTTTTCTATTCATGATACTGAGGTCATTTCCTTTTTTAAGTTTTACAAACCACACTGGAGAAGATATTCAGATACTGCTCTGTGTTTTGGAGCAAAGAGAGCTGCAAGTTAAATTTCTTCCTGGCCAGGCTTGGTGGCTCAGTCTGTAATCCCAGCACTTGGGGAGGCAGAGGCTAGTGGATTGCCAGAGCCCGTGGGTTCAAGACCAGCCCAGACAATTTGGTGAGACCTCGTCTCTACAATAAATCAAAAAATTAACTGGCCGTGGTAGTGCGCGTCTGTAGTTCTGGCTACTTGGAAGGCTGAGGCGGAAGGATTGCTAGAGCCCAGTAAGTCGATGCTGGGGTGGCTGTGAGCATACCACTGCACTCCAGCCTAGACAACAGAGTGAGACTCCAACTCAAAAAAATAAATAAGTAAAAATAAAAATAAATTCTTGCTATGCAGAATTGGGGCAGTTGTGGAGTTCACGTGACGTTTCAACACATATTGTGACATTGCCCTCTCCAAAATGTTCTGCTACAAATTCCACTGTGGAAGAGAGAAGTCAGGAATGGACGTACATATATGTTGAAATTCAGAATAACATAAAGGTGGTATGTTAAAGGAGTTGGCAAAAATAGTGATTATTCAATTGGAGGTGTCAAGTCACTGGAAGGCACAAGTCTTTTGGTAAGCCTGGCCAAATCTAGAAATTGACAGGGAAAAACTGACAAATTTGGTCATGTAAAAATATGTAATTTTTATATTAAAATTATAAATAAGAAAAAATAAAGACAAACCAACAAACTGAAAAAATGTCACATATAACAAACGTGCCAAATGGCAGTTTTCTTTGTGAGGCAAAAGTCAAGCAAAGCACCTCAAGGAAAAATTGACAGATATACTGCTTTTCTTCTTTTGAGTTATGACAATGTGCCAGACACGAGTTAAACAAGAATGCAAGTTCTGTTTAATTCTAGCAGGATCTATGATGCAGATATCATTATTATTATTATAAAATGTACATTTTATAGAGAGAAGATTATGGTTCAGATTGATGGAATAAATTTCTGGAAGTTACTGAGCTCTTGAGTAGAGGCTGAACTTGAACCCAAGTCAGTTTGTTATAAATCAGTTTTCTAAATAGTAGTCCCGGGCAAAAACAAACAAACATACACACAAAAAAACTGAGAAACAAAATTTCCAATAGGCATATTATATTAAATAAGGTGTTCACATTTGCTTATAATATAACATGAGAAATTAAATATGCACCATATATATTATACCTCTTAATAGGCAAAGATTAAAAATACTGATAACTGTTTTTAAAAAAAGATAAGATAACTATTTGCAATTATTTGTGTAAATAATTGCAATTCCATCAACAGTGTAGGATAACTGTAGTTCTCCTATACTGTTGATGGAATTGCAATTATTTACACAAATTAGACAATCTCAGTCTTAATTTTCTTATCTATAAAATAGAGATATTGCTTGACAGAATTGTTGAGAGTATTACATTCTAAATATATGAAAAATGTTAGCACTATGTCTAAATGCTTAAATTATTATATACTACTCCTTCCAAAATCTCCCACTATCTCCCCTACCCCCCATATGCACAAAAAACAACAGAAAACATATTTTACCTCTTTGTACCCCTAGCACAAAGCAAAGATTCAACAGATAAATCTGTATGTGAAGGTGTAAACCAGTAAGAAGAAATACTCTAGGCCACCACAAACCTTCAGCCAGCTGTTGGATTTCTAGGACCACACAAGAATCTGTACAGTCCATCCAATTCCATGGCCCATGTTCTAGCTCTCCATTTCCTTGCAAGTCAAAGCAGGCAGCAGACCCCAAAAAAGAGCCAGGAGCTCTGTTAAAATACTATCTGGTAAAATTGGCTGTAAGAACAAGGATTGGTGGTATGATGGTGTATAGCCAAATGCTTCTCCACCTATTTCAGGGAACTATTAACTTTCTGGTGTAAACAAGTCTGAAAGTTCTAAATATAAGTTATTAATAAACATTAAAGTACTATAATAATATTCTCCCTGTTCTAAATATTTACTGACAGTCATGTATTTACTGAGAGATACTGACTTGGAAGTGACCTAATGAACTTGAAATAAACATGACAAGACGACACTGGCAGTTGTTGAGCTTTAGAGGAAATGATATTTATGTGGTTTGTCTACAGCACGTTTAACTGGACGGTCCCATTCCTTTCATCACTGGCCTGTTTGATTCTGGCAGCAGCCACTATCACTTTGTATTTCATTCCACTGCGGTACATCATTTTAATCTGGGGTAAGTTTGACATGGCCCTTTTGCTGGCAATCAATTCCAGGTAAGAACTAATTACTCATTTTTAAGGCGCGACTATTAACTTTAAATGAGCTCTTGTTGGCAATTAAACATGAGATTAAAGAAAGCATTTTGGGAACAAAAACTTCTAGGACCTCCCTGAAAAGGCCAGTTGCATGAACGATCAGCATAGATATTTATAGGCCTCTTGCATAATTGCAATCATATAAAAATGTGATTGTGCACACCTTTTCTCTTTGGGCTTTTCCAGTCATAAATCCCTTGACTAACATATGAATGTGGCTTGGTAACTTCACAGAAACAGTGTTGTTCAAGTAGTGAGCAAACACCTGCATCTTGCCCTTTATATTTTGTAAAAGTAGATGCAGCCGGGCTCGGTGGCTCAGCCTGTAATCCCGCGCCTTTGGGAGGCTGAGGTGAGTGGATTGCCTGAGCCCATGGGTTCGAGACCCGCCTGGGCAGTGAGACCTCATCTCTACAAATAAATCAAAAAATCAGCTGGGCATGGTAGTGCATGCCTGTAATTCCGGCTACTCGGAAGCCTGAGGCAGAAGGATCGCTGGAGCCCAGCAGGCGAGGCTGCGGTGGTCGGGAGCGGCCACTGCACTCCAGTCTGGGCGACCGAGTGAGACTCCAACTCAAAAAAAAAAAAAAAAAGTAGATCCACTGCCAGTTTGCTCCTCACACTTTATATCTCTTAGAGGAAAAAAATTAACCTAATCGGCAAGGGAGAAGAGAGGGGGTATTCTGTCACTACCTAACTAGCGCCTGAAAGGAGAGGAAATTGTTATTTGCCAGGAGAAATGGTATGCCTATATAAAGTTGAGCTGCTTTTTAAAAAGTAGAAACAAAAATGGCAAATGGGAAGTAAAATTTCATGACAATTTAATGCTCAAGGTAGCAATTGGATGAAATACAAGCAGCTTTGTGACTGTTTGTATCTGTTACTGGGTGAGCTCTAGGTTGATATAAGGAGAGTAAACTGCAGTAACTTAATTTAGAAGAGCATTCAGTCTTCCTCCCAAAGAGTCTACTGGTCCTGGTTTTCCATTGCTTAGCTTGAGGACTGCTGCAGAGTTCTCAACCATCGTTCGAGGAAGTCACGAAAATGAGAGACTACATTAAGATGCATTCATCTTTAAGCAAAAGCTGAGCGCCTGCAAATGCCAAATAAGCTACACCTTTTCTAAAACCATTAAATGTAGACCTTTTCAAAGAAAGTTCACAAGGGTAGCACCCTGCTGAACAACAATCACCAACTGGGCATTCAGAAATGCAAAAAGTCATGGAAAAAAAACAGAGTAGCTCATACAATTATGGAAGTACAATGATTTTGAAAGTATTATCCATTCATTATTCCAATCCCCTCTTCAGGGGTCTGTTTTAATACTTGATGATCCTCATTCTTGAGGAAAATCTTATATTCCTGCTTAATATTATTTTGTTAGTTTGTTTCTTTTTTGTGGTTTGGTTGGAAACAATTCTAGTACATTGGTTCTTAAGAAAGGCCATGGAGTTCTTCAGGGCCCGAGAAAGCATATTTTGACTGAATGCAGTGACTCACACCTGCTTGAGCCTGCTTGAGGAGTTCAAAATCAGCCTGGACAGCATAGTGAGACCCTGGCTTTACCAAAAAAATAGGAATTTTCCCAGGTGGTGGCACATGCCTATAGTCCCAGCTACTAGGGAGGCTGAAGCAGGAGAATCACTTGAGCCCAGGTGTTAAAGGCTGCAGTGAGCAATGATTGTACTCCAGCCTGGGCAGCATGGAGAGATGTTCTCTTTAAAAAAAAAAAATTAAAGACAGCATAATTTGGAAAAGGATTTCTCTGAATACTAACTATATATGCTAAATGTTATTTGTATTTTTTTTTTTTGGGGTTGGAGTCTCACTCTGTCACCCAGGCTAGAGGGCAGTGGCACGCTCCCGGCTACTGCAGCCTCAACCTGTTGGGTTCCGGCGATCCTTCCGCCTCAGCCTTCCAAGTAGCTGGAACCACAGGCGAGCACTACCACACCTGGCTAATTTTTTTTGATTTATTGTAGAGATGAGGTCTCTCCAAGTTGCCCAGACGGGTCTCGAACCCGCGGGCTCAGGCAATCCACTCACCTCAGCCTCCCAAAGGCGCGGGATTACAAACTGAGCCACCGAGCCCGGCTATGTTATTTGTATTTTTATACGTTAAATAATCTTATTCTTTTTCAATTACTTTTTCATATGTATTAGTTTCTAAATCTGTTTACCAATCACATTTAAAATAAATCTCTTTAAATTACCGTCCAACATAAACAGAATGTGATTCCAAATTACACTCATTTCTCATTTGGCTAGTGTTTTGTTCACTTTTAAGTTCATAGAAATTGAATGCCACAGTCAGCTGTTAAACACTTGCTCCTTCATTTCTTTATCATTCTGATGCTTACTTGATTTGTTTCTATGTACCTTTCCCTCCACAAAGAAGCCTAATACTGCATTTGCTCCTTTGATCATCAATTTTGGAATTCTAACTCCTCTTTATATTTACCTAAATCACTTTGACTTCTGATCTTATCCTCCAAGAACTTGGCAACTTTCCAACAACAACTTTTTGCATCTACTTAATGAAACATACTCTATTTATTATTCACTTTATGGATGCAATTATTAAATGGCATAGAGTTTATTATGTTTCCTGGGCCAACAGTAACCCGTTGAGCTTTATACTCTGTGTCTGTTTCTTTGGTTTTATGTCCTAGAAAGGAGTTCATAGTTTATGATGAGCTTACCATAGACAAAGCCTTGACAATCAACATGTGATCTAATGCCTCCTTTCATCATGAAAACCCTGCCATGACATCCTAGAATATATTCTAGAATTCTATTAGGATTTACTCTTATTCTTTTGTAGAAAACAAGTTAGTTATTAGCTAGCATGGGACCAGGACATTATTTTGCACATCTCCCATATGATTTTATCCCCTGCCAAGACATTCTCATATAGAAGGAGATCAATTTATGACTTAAACTATTAGTTTCCTTTTAACTTTTTTAAGGAAAAGAAGACTTTCTTATTCTAAGTGACTTATCCATTTTTATTGAGTCCCAAAAATGGTGAATAAGATCCTAGATTTTTTTGTTTTGTTTTAATTCTTTGAAAAAAATTAACTGTATGTATTAGATTTCCATATTTTATATACCCAAATGATATTTTTGTATGTGTTTAAGTATCAGAAATATTTGACATAAGCATATACAGACAGCCCAATTTCATAATGACTACGGAAAATACTTCTGGGCCCACCAAAATTATTGTAAGGTTTTTGACAGGTGAGATACTTATTTTCTTTAGTCCTATAATTCCTAGTGCAGCTACATTAGATAATAAATCTTTAATGAGTTCTTAAAAAATATTTTATGAGTTGAATGAGTCAGCAAACTTAATACCTGCGTCCTACATAAACAACATTCTGTTGGGCTCACTACCTCTCTTTTACTCTTGTGTGGGAGTGTGATTTTGAAATTGAGAAGTAGGTTTTAAGAAGGACATCTGAAATTTTCATGAGGAAACATCATCTGGTGAATTCTGGTCACTTATTAGATGTATTTCCAGAATGCAGAACATTTATTAGCATTAGATCCCCTGTGGGTTTCTGTTCCTTTTGCGAGATTTCTCATATTCCTTCTATTTTGCCCTTCATCATAGATGCTTTAATTATGATTTTTCAGCTCTGGTTTAAGCCACTTCTGTTTGTTCAAGGAACAAGTAAATTCCCCAAGCTAAATTTTGAGCTTTTTACAGGAAGTTATGACTTATTTGACTTGTATCTTCATTTGATAGCATTATATCTCTTACCTGGAAGGCACTCAGGGTTTGATAAATAAACAGGGACCCTTCACCGAAACCTGACCAGCTATATGCCAATCATTCATGTAAATATCTGAAAAATAGTGTCATAAATGTGTAAAGCAGTCCTGCAATTGTTCATATCTTCTAGCTTTCTCCAAGTGATTTTTTTTCTTTTTTCTTTTCTTTTTACTGGAGGGTTCATTCCACCCCACTGATCAATTAAGTCTGTGATCTGGGACTATTAAATGATAATGCCTTTCCCAAATGTTATCCTTTGGTATTTAGATGATCCCACTTGCATTTTGTTTTGTTTTGTTTTATTTTTCTGTGGGGTTTTTTTGGGGGGAAAAAACATCACAGCAGATGTATTCTGTATATGTATTATTTAGGTTAGAGAATATATCTGTATTATTGAGGTTAAAAAAATCTGAAGTCATGTCTAGCATGCTACTGTATAAAGCCACAATTTCCAAATGTGGGAGTGTGATCATATGCCTAATAGTATAAAGATTCTTTTTTATTACCACCTCCTTTGTCTTCTTAGTTTATTGACATCTATAGTAATAATGTGGCCTACTGCACTGTTGTGGAATTTCACATTACAGAATCCTTTTTCCCATACTGTCCAATGTGATTCTCCCATCAACCTAGGAAACTCTATCGGGCAGGTCTTTATTATTCAAATTTTAATATAAGAAATCTGAGATACGCACAGTTAATTCATGATGAAGACAGAACTGAGGCCCAGGTATTCCTGGATCATAACCCTTATTTTCTTGCCCCTGAAAGATGACCCAGGAGTCTATGATGTCCTATAGACACTTGGTCTCACACAACAGATAATACGGTGGCATTACAGAACCATTTGAGCCCGAGACACCTTAATAAACAAGGTGCGCTTTGGAAACACACAGTGAGTGCCTTATAATTTTTATTCTGAGTTTTCTTTTTTCAAACAGTCTCAGTGCATTGTGGACTACTTTTGCCCTTATTGGTGCATTTGAGCTACTGTGCAGGTTTATAATCTTCTCAGTGACTAAGAATGCAGTGTTTTGATCGACTGTGATATTATCCCTGCCTTGCTGTTCATTGTAAAGACTCCAGATGCGCACACTATATATAATTAACAATAGAAGATATATCTTTCTCAATACGTCTTTGTCTCCCTTCATCATTTCGCCTTGTCTGTTTTCTTTTGCCAAAAAGCCCACGCTACAATTAAATGTCTTTAGAATAACACAGTGAGGGTATTTTAGTGTAAAGGAACGCTGGGGGAAATTTTAGCTAGAATCATGAAGCTTGCTGTGGGGGTACGGAGAAGAAAGGAGCGTGTAGCTTTGACTTTATGGAAAGGGGATCATTTGCTAGAAACCTTCCGAAGCCCAACCACCAAGCCACCATTTACTCATGAACAATGGCTGGCTCCCATTTGCAAAGCAGATGTAAATCTGACCCTCCAAAGAAATGACTGGAGGTTGGCATTGTGTCAGGTATAAATGCCATGCAGGAAGCCTAGTCCTCAGATGAAAGCCAAGTAATATTTAATGAACAACAAAAAAAATCAAACCTTTTGTGGGCTTGGGACTTCTGAACAGTTAAATGTTACCTTGGCTTCTGAGTAGGAGCCATTCAAAGTACAACGAAGCGAAGAATTCATTCAGCGTCATTGGGACTGACAGCCCTTCAGATATGATCCTTGTTAAACAAGCACCCTGTGGCAAAACTTCAGAAGGCCACCTAGTCTTTCTGCTTCTAAAACTCAACATGAAAAATGGGTTGACATTTGGTGAAAAGACTACAGTTTATGAGCTCCACATACAGTCAAAGCAGCTCCAAGGAGCAGAGTAGAAGACAAAACATGGTTGAGAGGAACTTCCCTCTAAAGAGGAAACCATGGGCAGAGCGTGTCCTGGACATGCCCAGGAGCCCAAGGTAGAGCCACCAAAGAAGTATGCTCTACAGTGTATTGACATCCTAAACGTTGAACCTCTGTCTAATTATCATTGTCCTTGTCCTAAATTAGCATGTCCTCCATTGCCGAGACATACCCACATGCCAGCATTGCAGACTATAAATTAAGTTACCAACAATAGTAAGATAATTTTCCAATAATAACTTTTCACAGTTTCCCCCAGCATCAAAGTATAATCAACATGTCAAGTTCTGTTCTGCAGCAAGAGAAGAGAAACCTGTGAAAATGAGTTGGAGGTGGGGGAAGATGGATGGCTGTAAGTTTCTTTGTAACAACAAAAAACAACTCCCATCCGTTTGGTCCAGAGCCTCCAAGCAGAGACTTGTTTGGGCTAATGAAGGCCTTTTCCCATCTGGGACATTTGTTTTCATAGCAGAGGAGGCTGTTAATCAGTGTACTCCAAAAAAGCCAATGTACTCCTCAGTTTGAACGTGTGTTTCTGTCGCCCTGCTGCTGGGATTGTAATGGGATTTTCACAGCTGAAGAAGGCAGAGCCCCACTTCGACAGCCCCCCCTCTTCCTGCCTTCAGGAAAAGGCATCTGTGAATGATTCCACATGACAGCAACATGTGCGTGACTTGAGGTCTAGTAATTGTTTTCACACTAATTTTTACTTGTGAATGCACCCCCTCCCCTGAGTCAGGCAAGTTTTTAAAGATAGATAGATAGATAGATAGATAGATAGATAGATAGATAGATAGATAGACAGACAGACCAACCAATGGATCACGATATCTGTGGTGTTTCTGTTTTTCAGGCATAAATAAATTTACTAAGAAGCTTCGAAATCCCTATTCCATCGACAATAATGAGATACTAGACTTCCTCTCCAGGGTACCATCTGATGTTCAAAAGGTATGTAATGAATGGTCACCACCAACAGGGTCCCCAACCTGAAGTCTGGTCAGCCCCACAGCCAGAGGAGCACAAGGCTTTGCATGTGTGAGTAATTGAGATAAGGAACCAGAAAATCCTTAAAGAGGCCTGGCTTGCAGGGAGGTGTCAGGGAAACCTTTGTCCAAAGCGTGAGATGATTGGGGGGAAATTATTCTGAAAAGAGCTGCTTAAGAATGATCTGGAACTCATACTGCGTGGCCACAGTGCACTGGTGTTTGTTCCCATTTTTGATTGCCTGCTCCCTAAAGAGTTGATAAGATAGATGGGCGCAGTGAGTGGAATTGAGTGAGATCCAAACTGGGGAGTGTTGCTGCTTATTTTCTTCCTCTTTTGGATGACGAGCATTTTAGGGAGAACAGGGGACAAGAGGATTATTCTTTTTATTTTCCTTTGTCCCGATTATCTCCTAGGCCTCCCTTCTATCCCTTTTTCTCTAAAGACTTAGGGACACTGAGGGCAAAGCCCCCACTTACTCTAATACACGTAGAGGCAGAAACGGCGTGAAATAATTTGAGATCAATCAGAAGTATTATTCACAGGTAATGGTCATTTAGTCCAACAGTGTCCCATTTCTGTGGATACACAGAGATTAATGAGAGCAACAATACCAGAAAGTCTTGCAGAGTAGCTCAATCTGGGCCCCTGTGGATTGGCATGCTAGAAATCCAGAGGAAAAAGAGCAGGCAACAATTTCTCTAATGAGAATAGAGACTGAATAGGTAGATAGGGAGACCAGAGCATGAAATATCACCGAGACTATCAAAGACACAATCCTTTAAGTTTTGAGAGAATCCCAAATCAAGTATTGGTTTTCATATTTGGGCCACTGTAACATAATTGCTTCCCCGTCAGCTCCAGATGGATTGCAGAGACACTGGCTGAAAGGTCGCAGGGCTTTTTTCCCCTCCATGTTAAGGTCTAGAGATTAAAGTTGACCCTGTGATGCTATTTTCCTTTAACCTTCAGTTTATGATATAATTATCTATGAAAATACATTCTCTAAAGATACATTTACTCTTTAACATTTGCATTACATAATTTAAAAATAAGAGCCCAGCCCCCGCTTGTTTTGCATTCAAGATTGACAGGTATGTCAACTTCTACTCCCCGGGGGGACCTTCGCAAAACACTGGGAGGAATGGGTGTTTTTTTCATTTATCTGCTTTTGACAAAGTATAGCCTGACTTATGTGAGCGGACTAATGTCCTTGGGGAGTTTGGCACAAATGCTAAAAATAGGGAGCACATGTGGTCTGTAATACAATATCTTAAATAAAGGCATTCCACCAGCAGCCTATCAAAGCCCACACACCAAAGCAATACGTTTGCAGTGTACCATCACTTGGGTCACAATGTGAGTTCACGCTGTATCCTTGAAGAATAGAAATTTCCATCAAGCCCCCCCAAGGATTATCTATGCACAGTCCAGGCACCAGTCCTCAAAGTGGCCATTCCAGTTGGAGTTGGCATGAATACAGAGAAATACAACAAAAGAACATTCAAGGAAGATATACAGTATGCTAGTAAGATCCTCCGTGTATAGCCAAGGGCACTTTCTAATAACACAATGACAGTTTGCCACTGGGGACTCCTGAGTGCTCATATTTATCACAGATGTTTTAGCCATTACATTGTAAATGAAATTAATTTTTAAGAGAAATCTATATTAGTATGGAACCCCATATCAATTTCAGTATTTTTTCCCCTCTCAGGCAAAATAAATGTATATAATTTGCTGAGATGTTTTCCCCAAGATTTTAAATATTTTTAAAAGAATAATTCTCAGTACATTGCTATATCATATACTAAGATAAACATTCCCAAGAGGCAGTTATTAAGCTTACTTATGGTTGAAAACTGGCACACACAAAACGAAGATCATCTTGCAGTGCCCAGAGCAGGTAGAAACTCATGCATCTCATTAGAAAAATCTGCTTTTAATATTTTGGTTTCAAGAAATGATGCATGACTTCTCAAATCCTTCCTGCAATTAATCCCTCCATGTTCCTGTGTTTAGAAAATGATTCATTACCTTTGAACCTTCCTTCCTTTGCCTTGGTTTGTCCTTGGGGAGCCATTAGCACAAACTGTGGTGAGCTAGGGTTACCTAACCGCCAGCATCACGTCTGTTTGTTTTCACAGGTGCAGTACGCAGAATTGAAACTCTGCAGCAGCCACAGCCCCCTGCGGAAGAAGCGTAGCGCTCTCTAGGGCATACACCGACTTTGGACACCAGCACCCGATATTGTGTTGGGTTGATTAGAACAATGTTATGGCTGTTTCAGTGGTACCCGTGGTGTCCTTCTGAAATGCATGCTGTGTGACGCCCTCTCTGTACTCTCCCCTCTTCTTCAACTGTACACACATGCATGTGTGTGCACATTTCTATGCATGGGTGTCCTAGTTGCACAGAGGGTTAGTCCAGCCCAAGGAAACGAATCTGAGACTGTGAAAGACTAATATCTATACTGAAATAGGACATAAAGCAAGGCTGCCATGGGTCTGAACACCCTTCTTGAGAACAACCAAGAGGCCACTGGGATTTGAGTGACTTTGAACTTGTTTTCACACCTCCAACAGATTCTCATTATGATTCAGATATTTCCACTCTTTACTGCGACACTCCTTTCAGATTTTCGTTCATGTAAGTTTCTTCTCTGAGTTAACAAGTCTTTGACAACCATCATCTGTCCAAATAATGTATGTTATAAAAATATTTTTAAATAATTGCTAGAGTTAGCCCAAATCTTTGGGAATCCTTCAGCCATGATTATTAAGGATATGTATGTAAATTTGGGGTAAATCCCTTGGTGCTGGATGTTAGCCTGCCTTGTGGTCCATTGCTGGCAGTGGATGTCCAGGGAAGGTCCCTAGGGATCATACATTTGAAGAATGAATGTAGTTGGTTACATTTGAAAGTAGTTGGTTGCCTTAAAACACCATTTCTTCTGCCTATACTTTTTCCAAAATAAAATGTCAACATATAGCTTCAGAAAGGCAGGTGGGAGGGGGATCACTGAATAGTTTCTGTAAGTATTTAGAAAGCGAAAGGGCTGCTGACCAAGGGACTCATAAATGAGGCTGCCTACCTAGTGATCGTAATCATTTCATTTACCCGAATGTTTTGAGCAGAAAGTAAAAATACTTTGGCTGTCCAAATTCATCTTTTGTTTCTTTTTGGACCAAAATAAGCTGCATACAATAAAAATGTTTGAGAACTCCATTCTTAGAAAAGTACCACCCCAGAGTCCTCCTGGGATAGCATCTGTCTCCTGCAGACCCCACCATTCCACAGTACTCCCCTGCCAAGTAAAATTCCTGATTTTATGCATATATTAAATGTATGCAAATATCTCTCTGTTCAAATGATATTTAAGTTTTGCAGACTGTATTTTGTTGACACATACTTTGTGCAGTTTTATATATATGTGTGTATATTATAAAGAAAAGTTAAGGTAAAAAGACTTGATTTAATAGTGAGTTTACTAATTTTTTTTGTCTTTGGGTTGTAATTTAATAATCTTCAAACAAAATGTTTATGAAAAATGCCAAAGATTCTAAACCTTATCATCCCGTGTCTGTTTTTCTTCATGTTGTATCTCACTGGGTTGCTTTCTGGCTGAGCCAGATTTCTGCATGATTTGATTTACTTCAAGTTAATGAAGCTGGCTGGAAAAGAGCCTTGCAGAAATTATAAAAGCTCCAGTAAATCTCTTAGTTGTACATACAATAGATACCCAAGAACTTCTTTTGTGAAACCAGTTACTCAATCTTCTGTGTAAACAATGCCTCATTGTCTTGCTTCTAACTATCATCTAGTTTATCATAGTCTGTCATTTTGTAACGACCTAAGTCAGGCATTTTTAAAGACATGTGAGATCTGATCAGTCATTTGAATGAGAACTTTCAGCAGCAAAATAACCCCTTATTTATTTAAAAGTAGAACCAATACTTTATTGTTGTTCTTTTGCTATAGAATTTCAAAATGAAATAATTTGCCTGGCAAGAAGGCATCATTAGTTAGATGTATTTTCTCCGTAGCCTGACTGAAATTCTCAGCATTAGGTTTAGGACCCAAGCACCAGCTGGGATGTGAGAGCAGGACTGAATCAACCTTTAATAAACTGTATATGAAAAACAATTGTTAATTGATTAAGTAGACATTGGATGTTAAAAATGCACGTTAGTTAAAAGTGGCATGTTAAGATTTATACAAGTAATCAAAAACTTTTAGGAAAGATTGCAGAATGCTTTAGATAAAATTTTTATTGATTATGGATTTACAATATGCTAAAGATAATAAGTAGGGATACTAAAGTCTTCCCCCTCCACCCCCCCAACCCCTTTTTGAGTTAGAATCACTCCTTCGCCCAGGCTGAAGTGTAGTGGCACCCTTATGGCCACCCCAGCATCAACCTGCTGGGCTCTGGTGATCCGTCCACTTTGCTAAAAGTGGACGCACTTCAGCCTTCCAAGAAGCTGGAACTACAGGCTTGTGCTACGATGCCCAGCTAATTGTTTTTATTTATTGTAGAGATGAGGTCTTACAAGTTGCCCGGGCTGGTCTCGAACCCACGGGCTCAGGCAATTCACTCATCTTAGCCCCCCAAAGTGCTGGAATTACAGGCTGAGCTACTGAGCCTGGTCACCCTGTTGGGTATCTTACAGGCATCTACACCCCAGCAGGTCAAAAACTATACTTCATCTCTCTCTTCCAGTCTTCAGAACCCTAACCCACATAATCTCCTTATAGCTTCCTTATTTCCCTTATTGGCACTGTCATCTTCTGGGCTGGAAACCTCCTGGGATTCTTTTTTATTCCCCATGCTTTTGTCCTCATCTCCCAACTCATAATACCGAATAGATTCTGTGTTGATGTGTTATCCACCTCTATTCTGACCCAAGTTGAGACTTTCACAGCCTCTCGCAAGTCAAGGCCATTGTGCCCATTACGTTATGCCAAGGTAATCCTCATTCATACTATTCTTTTCATTTGGGATAACGTCCCCCCAATTCTGTCTGAATAAATTCACTCTACTTCAAAACTGTCAAGTCTCCTGCTCCATGTAGGCTTTCTTACTCCTTTGGATTTGATTCCAACTTTCCTTATACCCTCACATGTTACATATCTTTCTGGCATCTGCCACATTCTGTCATAGGTCATAAGAGACCTTGACTACTGTCCAGCGCTGTTAGCTGACACATAACAGATACTCAGGAAATATATGTTTAACAGACCAGATCATAGATGATTTTTCTTCCTCTGCCTTTTCATGTACTGCTGTCAGAACAGAGGATTGAGATGGATAGATTAATGTGGCCTATCCTGGAGAATAATTTTTTGGCATTAAGTAAAGCTTTTATTTTGTGTGATATTATTCGTAATCCCTGACTTTGTCAATTATAAGCTTTTTTTTGTTTTCTATGATAGTTTTTTTTTTTTTTTTTAGATTCAGGGGTACACATGCATATTTGTTACATAGACATAGTGTGTAGTGGGGGAATTGGGTCTCAGGTGCCCAATAGGTAGTTTCTAAACCCTAACTCCCTCCTCTCCTCCTTCCTTTTATTGATGTCCGCAGAGTCTATTATTGATGTCTTTGTGACACTTAGCTCCCACATATGAATGACAACATGCAGTGTTTGGTTTTCTGTTTCTTTCAGTTTACTTAGGATGATGATCTCCAGCTTCATCCATGTTGCTGCAAAGGACATGTGATCTTTTGCTCTTATTAATGTGGGCCTTAAGCGTTATAAATTTTCTTCAGAACATAGCTTTACTGTGTTCCAGAGGTTTTGATAGTTTGTTTCATTGTTTTTGTTCAAGGAATTTTTTAAAATTTCCATCTTGATTTCATCGTTGACCCTAAGGATCATTCAGGAACAACCTGTTTAACTTTTATATCTTTGGTTTTGCGACATCTTCTTGGAGTTAATTTCTAGTTTTATTTCATTGTCGTCTGAGATGGTGCTTGATATGATTTCTATTTTTTTAAAATTTATTAAGACTTGCTTTGTAGCCTATCATATGGTCTACCTTGGTGAATGTTCCATGTGCTAATGAGAAAAATGTGCATTCTGTGATTTTGGCATATAATGTTTTGTAGATGTCTGTTAGTGCCATTTCCTCTAGAGTCATGTTTAACTCCAATGTTTCTCTATTGACTTTCTGCCTTGATGATCTATCCATTGCTGTCAGGGGCATGTTGAAGTTTCCCACTATTATTGTATTGCTGTCTCTCTCTCTCTCTTTTTTAGGTCTAGTAGAATTTGTTTTATATAGCTGGGAGCTCTGGTATTAGGTGCATATGTATTTTAAATTGTTATGTCTTCTCATTGGATTGCTCTCCTTATCATTATATAATAGTCATATTTGTCCTTTGCTGTTGTTAAAGTTTGTTTTATCTCTATGAAAATGGCTACTCCTGCTCATTTTTGGTTTCCATTTCCATTCCATTTGAATGTTTCTCCCCATATCTTTACCTTGAGTCTGTAGGAGTCTTTGTGAGTTAAGTAGGTCTCTTGAAGACAGCAGATATTTGCGTTGTGCTTTTTTTTATCCATTCTGCCAGCCTGTACCTTTTAGTGGGACATCGAGACCGTTTACATTCAGATTTAATAATTATATGTAAGCTACTATTCTCTTTATCATACTTTTTATCTGGTTACTTTGTTTATTTCTCTATTGTGTTGGTGTTCTATAAAGTCTGTGAACTTTATGATTTCCAACATTTTTCTACTGATGTATTCAACCTTTTTTTTTTTCAGTATTTAGGATTCCTTTGAATATTTCTTTTAGAGCCAGTCTACAAGTGACAAATTTGCTCAGTGTTTGCTTATCTATGAAGGACTTCATTTCTCCTTCACTTATGAAAATTAGTTTTGTAGGACAGAGAATCCTTGGCTGAAAGTTATTCTGTTTGAGGAGATTGAAAATGGGGTCCCAATCCCTTTTGGCTTATAGGGTTTCTTTTGAGAAGTTTGCTGTTAGTCTCATAGGTTTCTCTTTGTAAGTTATTTAATGCTTTTGTCTCATTTCTCTTAAAATTCTTTCCTTCACATTAACTTTGTATATCTGTATGATTATATACCTTGGGGATGAAGTTTTTGTAATGAATCTTCTGGGAAGTTCTTTGGGTTTTTTGTTTCTGAGTGTTTAGATTTCTGGCAAGACCAGGGAAGTTTTCCTCCATTATTCCCTTAAATAGGTTTTCCAAACTTGTTGCTTTTTCTTTTTCCTCAGGAACACCTATGATTCTTAGGTTTGGACATTTTACATAATCTCACATTTCTTGCAGACTTTGTTCTGTTCTCTTGATTTTTTTTATTGTTGTCTGATTGGGTTAATTCAAAAGCTTTGTCTTCAAGTTCTGAGATTCTTTCTTCTGTTTGTCCTAGTCTACTGTTAAAACTTTCCACTGCATTTTGTACTTCCCTAAATGCTTCTTTAATTTCCAGAATTTCAACTTTTTTTTTAAGTGTCTATATCTTTGGAGAATTTTTCATCCATGTCCTGAATAGTTTTTGGTGGTGGTAGTGGTGGTGGTTCTCAGCTTTCTCCTGAAGTTCATTGACTAATTTTGTCATCAACTTTTTGAATTCTATGCCTGGAATTTCAACAATTTCATTTTGGTTAGGGTTCATTGCTGAGGAGTTTATGTAGTCTTTTGGGGGGTGTTGGACACAGTTTTTCATATTGTTAGAATTATTTTTCTGACTCCTTCTCATTTGGGTAGATGATTTCTTCTTACATGAGGTTGTCAAGAAGCTGATGTGGGCACCATAGGGTTCCCCTGGGTACATTTCTCAATTGTCAGAAACAGCCCTGTGCTGTGTACCTGCACTGCCTTATGGCATCCTGAGTAGCCAGAGTGGCTTGGAAAGTGATATTAACTGGTGCTTGGGTTCTGGTCTTCCTCGAAGGTGAAGTATATTATATCCAATGTGGCTGGCTGTACTGTTGACCTCTGGCAAGGAGGTGGCAATTGTAGGAGAAAGCTGGCTATGATGGTGGCTGTAGGGTTTCTCCTTGGTGAATGCTGCTCCAAGGAAGTGCCCAGCCAGCCTAGGCCAAGGGTGGGGCTCTGGAGATTTCTCAAGTTTTCTGTCTGTTTTGAACCTTGTGGGGTATTACAAGGTAAAGGGGTTGAGGCACCCCTAAGTGTGCACTCTTAGCTGCCACAGTGGGGATTAGAAAGGAGTTCTAGGTCACTGGGGTAATGCTGTTGTGAAAAGCAGGCCCAGAAGAGTTAACAAAGGGAGTAAAAGGGATATGGCAACATATCCCACCTGGCTGGCTCCTGCCAGGGTCTCAAGTGTTCTCAAGTGTTCTCAGGCAACCCACCCAACCAAAAACTCTCTGCAGCTGTGGAGTTTGCCCTTGGCGGCCATTCCCTCCCAAGGTAACTGGAAAGCAGCCACTTCACCTTGCAAGCATTGAGTTTCTGGGAAATGGTGGTGGATGCTGCTCAAAACTTTTATTCTGCACTACTCTATGGCAGAGTACACCTTTCCCAATGTGTCTGGAGACTGTGGTGAATTGTGTGGTGCAGGAGAGAGTCCAACCAGTT